ATATATATATATATATAGTTAGTTGAGTTTTGACTAATGTGTCAAGGCAACTCAATGGAGAAAGGATAGTCTTTTCAACAGTGGTGCTGGAATAATTTGACATCTATGTGCAAAGTATAAAGCTTGTCCTGTACCTCGCATCATATATATAAATTAACTCAAAATGAATCATAGACCTAAATGTCAAAACTAAAACTTCTAGGAAATATAGGAAAAAAATGTTTGGGATTGTGGTTTGGTGTCTGTAGACACCAAAACATAATCCATATTGGGAAAAAATTGATAAATTGAATGTTATCAAAATTAAAAAACTTCTCTTTGAAAGACATTGTTAAGAGAATGAAAAGTCAGGCCACAAACTGGGAGACGATATTGGCTAAACAGATATCTGATGAAGGAATAGTATCCAGAAGTCTGGGAACTCAGTCCAGTAGTCTCCCCTTATCTGCGGGGAATATGTTCCAAGACCAGTGGATGCCTGAAACTGCAGATAGTACCAAACCTTATATGTACTGTGTTTTCTTCTACACATAGATTCCTCTGATAAAGTTTAATTTATAAATTAGGCACAGTAAGAGATTAACAATAACTAATAATACAATAAAACAATCATAACAATATACTGTACTAAAAGTTATGTGGCTAGGTGCAATGGCTCATGCTTGTAAGAGGAAGAGAGAGGCCCGTTTGAAGAAGAGTACAGATACACTTTGGGGATCCAAAAAAGAACTGCAATTTTAAAGTCTTCTAATGCCACACCACTTCACTGTCTAGGCTACAACAGGATTTTAGTTGGAGGTTGTGCATGTTGTCCTTTTTATCTGATCTGTGATTAAAGCAGTAATATGAAAGATGGCCTGGGAAAAAACATCAACGTCTTAAAGTTAGAAATGAGAATGGTTTGTAAAACCCTACAGCTGTATCCTGATACTGGATGGTCCTTACCCTTTGTAGTCCTAAACCGGTTAGTGTAAAATAGTTCCACCACTGCTGAGGCACCACTGCCAATGCTGCACATGCCACCATTGTTCTTTGAACCAGATGTGTGTTTACTGTATGTTACATAACTTCTGATTTCTTCACCCAACATGCCTAGTCCAGCTTTTTCCCAGTCACATCCTGGGATCCAATGTATAAATCCAACATTGCATATCTTGTGCATAAGTGTTCTAAAGGATCTTATTTTGTGTACTATATGTATCAGTAGTATACATTGCCATATAACATAAAAAGAAAGATCTACACATAAACAATGCAACAACTATTCAAATGTCATACCAACTAAACCATCAAATAAACCTTTAAACAACGAAAAAAAAAAGCACTTTGGGAGGCTGAGGCAGGAGAATTGCTTGAGGCTAGGAATTCAAGACCAGCCTGGGCAACATAGTGAGACCCCATCTCTACAAAAAATAGAAAAAATTAGCCAGACATGGTGGCTCACACCTGTAGTCCCAGCTGCTGGGGAGACTGAGGCAGGAGGATTGCTTGAGTCTAGGAGTTCGAGGCCGCAGTGAGCTATGATCATGCCACTGCACTCCAGCCTGGCCAACAGAACGAAACTCTATCTCTATAAACAGAAATTTATGTGAATGTGATCTCGCTCTTTTTCTCTTTCAAAATATCTTACTTTACTCACCTATTTTCAGACCCTGGGTAACTAAAATTATGGAAAGCAAAACTATAGATAAGGAGGAGGGACTACTTTAATAAGAAGACAATAAAAAAATGGCAAAAGGATTTGAACAACCACTTCACCAAAGTAGATATTAATAGATAGATGCCAATAGGCCCATGGAAAGATGCTTAACATCTTAGTCATAGGGGAAATGCAAATTTAAATCATAATGAGGTACCATTTCATACCTATTAGAATTGTTTAAAAAAAAACCGGAAAATAATGACTCTTGGCAAGGATGTGGAACAACTGAAATTCTTATGCATTTGCTGGTAGGAATTCAAAATGGGATAGCCACTTTGGAAAAATTTGACAGTTTCTTGTAAAGTTAAACATGCACTTACTATATGCATGTAGCATTCCCCACTTACAGATATAGCCAAGAGAGATTAAAACTTACATTCACACAAAAATCTGTACAAAAATGTACTAATAGCTTTATTCATAATTGTCAAAGACTAGAATACATAAATATCCTTTGCCTGATGAATGAATGACCTCACTGATACATCTGTAATTGAATACTACTCGGCAATATAAAGAAATCAACTGCAGATACACACTGCAGTGTGGGTGAATGTCAAATGCATTATGCTAAGTAAAAGCAATCATTGTCAAAAGCCTACCTAATGTATGATTCTATTTATTTTACCTTCTAGAAAAGGCAAAATTATCGAGATTGAAAACAGATTAGTGGTTGCCAGGAGGGCTGGGATGGAGAGGAGGGTTTAATTTAAAGTGGCATGAGAGAATTTGGGGGGATAATGAAACTATTTAAGTAGTGGAAAGCTGTGGAGCTCACAGTGGCGACTGCAGATTTTCACTTGGGAATGCAAATTCAAATTTACTATAGCAACAAATACTGGTGGCTGTTTTTCTTGAAGCTACAGGCTTATTTTATTCAAATTTGAAAAAAAATTGCCATTTATTTAAGACCAGATAAGTATAGTTTGTCAGTCATTCTTTGAAGTAAAAATTGTAGGCAAAATATGTACTTCCCATTTTGTCACATAGAATTCTCAAAAAATGGATACTCAGAGCCCAAATTTAATAGCATTAATAATTATTTACTTTTCATCAAAGACATTCTTAAATAAAGCTGGCTTTTTCTTTTTTTTTTAAACTGCTGTATAAGTGAGGAATACTATGACTACTTGTAATACAGGTTGGTGCCACTGCCTGGACCCATGCCAGCAGTTTTCCCCACCATTGCTTTTGTACTGTCAGTGTATATAGAAAGGCAGTGGAAAAAACCCAGTGTCTTAGTATTAATGTTTAAAAAATGTCCTTGTGGACTATGAGAGGTTTGCAGAAAACACTTTTGAGAACCCTTCATCAAAGGTTTAATTTTCATTGCTGGTTGTTACTTGCTGTCAGTGTCATAGCATTGTATTTACTTTTTAAGCTATCTGTAGAAATACTTGTTTCAAAAGTGAAATAAAGTAACTTACTATGAATAAAATATTCTCAACGTTCTTTATTCTGCAGTTCAAACACTCTCCACCAGGTGGCATCATACCTCTGCTTGTTGCCAACCCTTCCTAACAGTGAAGACACAACTTTGGATAAAGAATTTCTTCTAGAATTGCTGGTAAGTATTAGTGTGCTCTGAATTTTGCATGTGATTTTCCCTGCCTTTTTGCATCATTCATCAAGATAGAGGTTCATAGGGTTTCTTGTTGGCTAAAGATTGTGTAGATAATTCCCATCTGTTTTTGGAATTATATTTTGATTTTGTCAGAAGTTATTTTTTATCATTTGAATTTCTTTTCTCAAGTCTTTTATCTCTTAAAATTGCTTTGTGGCATGAATTCATTCTATTAGCAAGCATTTATGAGCAGCTTCTGTATCAGATACTGTATTTTGGCTTCAGTGCTACCTATGACACTTAACAGCTGACACCATTTCTGCCTTTGAGGAGGTCACAGTTATTTACACACACGCCCACCCACCCCACATATAGTTGAATAAACGTATTCCTATATATTATTTTAAAAGCGATCATTTAAACATAGTATATTGAATGTGAAGTCATACATTTATCCATAGAAAATCGCAGGAGTATTTAGAAATAGTGTAAATTATCACTAAGTGGCTTAAGAATTCTTAGGGATTTCTCAGTCATTTTTGGAAATGAGGGGCCTTTACTTTTTTTGTAAAGCTTTTTTGTATTTTTTAATTAAATTAATATATGGTTTTATAAATAAACCACATTACAGAGGTATTTGAGGTTAAAAAGTAGGAATTTTATTCCCTTTGGACTCCCATTCTATTTTCCAGAGGTAAACACTGTTAATACTTTCATATATATCCTTCCAGATTTTTAAAAAATTGTGCTTTTAATTTATTTGATTTAGTTAAATTTTAGAAGTAATACATGAGTACATTTTGTTATAATAATATAGAAATATCTAGATCAACACTCAAGTCCTTCCAGAACTTCTTTATACATTTATGTAAAAATATACACACCATATAGGAATCCAGTTTTGTATTTTTTAAAATATAAATTGAGTCATGCTGTATTCTTCTGCGGCTTGCTTTTTTTAAAATTTAATATTATGTTTGAGGTTTAGTCCATTTGTATAGTATAGATATACCTTATTTTTAACTTCAGTATAATATTTCATAAATTAGATAAGTATTTAACCATACCCCCATATTTAGGTTGTTGGCAGTTTTCACTTTTACAAATAATGATGCAATTTTTGTGTATGCCTCGTTATGACCATGTATGGACATTTAGGAGAGATACGTAGAAATGAAATTATTTGATTGAAGCACAAGCTTATTTAAAATGTAAAAGATGCCATCACATTATCTTATAAAAGGTGTATATTCCCATCAAAAGTGTATTAAAGTATGTTTCCGCAAGCTTTTATCAACATTGGGTGTTATCAGTCTTCCCATTTTTGCCAATCTGATGGGTAAAAAAATGGTAGCTTGTTTTGTTCTTTTTTTTTTTTGTTCCCTGCCTACTATAAAGTTGAGTAGCTTTTCATGTTTCAAACATTTTTTGCGCCTAAACAAACATATATTGTGTTGATGTGTGTATACATTTTTCTTATACATGTGAAACTATATTAGGCACACTGTATTGGAATTTATTCTTGAAGCTAATACTTTTAATATAGGATGTGAAATACAATCTCTCAGTGTAGGAAAGAAGATGGTATGCTAGTTTTTGGGGGCAGTGACAGGAAACTATTTGTAGCAGGTGTTTTAAGCCTAGTGACAGATGTTTAAGTGCCATTTGGGGAGAAATCCTTGAGAAGGGTTTTAATTCAAGTATGGAAAATACTTTTTCATTGTTATATTTACTTGCCTTATGTCTTGAGCCACCATCTTTGCCTTCCTTCTTACAAATCACTTTTCATTTTCTCTGACTAGAAGTGCTTCCTAGAAAATTCTTGTAATATTTTGTGAAAATGTAAAATCTCTCCAGTCGGGTTTTGGGGATTGATAATAAACTTTTACTGTAGAAAGAAATGAGGATTTTTTTTTTTTCCAGGAATCCTTCTAATGGAAAATAGATTGAGTATAAAGTTGATTCTTTGCCTTTTAGGATCTTATAGCTAGAATTTTATCCTTCAGATTTAAATAGTTATGCCAAAAGAAAATAATTTTTAAAATTTATAGTGCTACAACATTATTTTTCATTTTCTCCTTTTCCTAAAGGATTTTCCTCAGGCTTTAAATTCTTCCAATATCCAAATTATGATTAAAAAGTTGAAATATACATATTGTTTAGATATTATGATATCTTTTTTCTTAAAATACTATATTCAACTGAAGAGAATTTGACACATTTTCAAGTGTGTCATTATTTTAACATTATTAATTAGGTAACAAACATTTCTATATCTGAGATAGGTTACAATATTAAGGGTACATAGAGGTCATCAAGTCCTGCTCTTATTTCACAAGGAAGAAGACTGACGCCAGGGGATTAATACATTTTCCCAGATTATATAGCTTAGTTAGTATGAGAATGAAAACTATAATCAGAACTTAGAGCTCCTACTTTTTTTTTTTTTTAACATAGTTAATACTAAGTGCTATGGTTCTTAAACTCTTGGCATGTGCCAGGGACTTTGATACTGTTTTACAATATTCATTTCTTTTCATAAGAAACCTGAGAGGTAAGTGGTACTTTATCTGTTTTACTGAAAAGGAAACTAAGGTCAGGAAGGTTAAAGTAACTTGCCCAGTTTTTACATTGCTCATAAGTAGAGGAGCTGAGATTTGATCTCAAGTTCATCTGATTCCAAGCCCATCAGTACTGGTACCTCTTTTAGCTTTGATTTATCAAGAAAATAGGAAAAGGAAAAAAAAAATCTCTTGTTAAAGTGCTACAATAACTGACAGGTATGAAAGTTCCCTTTCTGTTTCCTTTCTTGTAGGTATCTCGTCATGAACGTCGAATTTCTCAGATTCAGCAGTTGAACCAGATGCCTTTGTATCCAACTGAGAAAATTATATGGGATGAAAATATTGTTCCAACTGAGTACTATTCTGGGGAAGGTATGATAAAGAAATACAGGATTCAGGTGTAACATAAAACTTAATTTAGAATTTATCATATATAATTGAAAATGTCCTCCAGTGTACTGTATACATTAGGATAATTTTCTAGTACCCTGAAGTTCAACTTTAGCAGCTGAGAAAGATTTAGTATTTTGAATGCTTAACACTAAGAATTTTTATTAGGTATAGCTGTACTCTAGTATACATATATATATCACCCTGTATAAAATATAACCATAAAGTAATAAAACTGTTTTCAGGGAGATCTCATAATGCAGGAAGTGTAGCTGTCATTTTGTCACCATAAGAGGCTATGTTTGGTAGAGATTTACTTTTCAAAGCATTTTTTAGAGGCTCTTTTGAATTCTTTGTAAAGCCAGCTAATGAAAACCAAAAAAAAGACATTATGATTAGTTGATAATAAACCCTTAGTTTTGATCCAAAATGGTATTGCCTCACCTACCTATTTCCCCAGATTTGGTTCAAAATGCTTTGCACTCATCCTCTGAGGATAAGAATTTGCCACAATTGAGTATATTCAAAAGTGCATCCTGATATATTTTGAAGGCATATTTCAAAAGAAATTTCAGGAAATCTTTTGAACATTGGCTTGATTATTAGAAGACATCACAAGTATAAGTATTGGTGTAGTTACTTAAGATGGTTACTTCAGAATTATGTCCTAGAGCTATAACTCCAATAAACCCGGTGCACTAAAATTGTGCTAGATTTCAGAATAGGCAATCTTCATGTATTTTTATGTTCTTACCATGGTAAATGTGTTGTTTTCTCATGTCTAAGGATACACACTTGGGTGATAAAACTATAAAAAAGATTCAAGATGGTGATTGCTATAAAAGTCAGGAAATGGTTACTTTCAGGTAAAGGGAAAATGTTGTAACTAGGAAGGAGCACATGGGAGGGTGTGGATAGCTGACAAGGTGGTTACAAGGTTTCATTTTTAAAATGTCTTTTACTTTGCAGGTACCCTCTATATCAGGGATGGGGAACCTTTTCATGTTGAAAGACCTCATTAATTTAGCTTAATCAAATAAGCCTGCATCTAAGAAACTTCAATTAGATATACTTAAAATGTACATTATTTCATAAAAATCTAACTACTATGTACTTAATAATTTCAAAAATAAAAACCCTTAATTTTAAAGTTAACTAACTTTTTAATGACTTTGCTATGTCTGCTTTTTGTTGGAAAGTATTCGAATGTTTGATTGCAGCATGGAGGTCCGTAGTTTCAGTTGATCCTCTGAAACTGATGGGTCTCAGTCATTTGTGACCTTAAGAGCATCTTGATTTGGGTTAGGTAGAAGAATGTAGATTTGCAGCAATAAGTGGTTGAAAAGCAAGAAAGCATTTTTCGGGCATGTTGCCAAAGGTGTGGGTATTCTACTACATTCTTCCATATTTCAATTGGATCTTTCTTAGCATCAAACAATGACTTTTAAAAATGTCATCTATGGAGAGCTCAATCAATTCCATCTGTAGTTAGTTCTTTAGGTGCCTTGGTGATATCAACTAGGTGAGGCTGAAATGCTAATTTGAATGTGATGTCGTGATTCTCAAAAGTCAGTGAACCTTTCACTGTATTCTCCAATTCATAGGTCTATAACAGCTGCACATTCTTCAGATGATTTGCATATAGCATCCTGCTCATCATTACCCTTTGCTAACTGGGGAAAATATTCATCTGAAATTTCCTTTTGAAGGAGAAATGTTCTGAAAAAGCTTTTTTCGAAATGCTTGGATTTTTTTGCCACATCATATATAGACTTAGTTTTACCTTGCAAAGAAATATTCAAGTCATTTTGATTTGACATGGTATCACACAGAAATGCTGCATTCCTATAGAAGTCTTCTTTCAATAATTCACATTGCTGATTCTGTTCTTCATGAAATTTAATTATCTGTTCTCACAGAGATAAATACTTATAACTTGTTGCAAAGTGTCACTTAAATTGGTAGCTTTAGCACAGAGATTTTGCTGATGCAAGATACAATGAAAAGAAATGAGAGCATCTGGACCTGTTAATACTTTTTGTATCTGCGCAAAAAACCCTCCATGTTTTCTTATCATCGAAGGTGTACTGTGTGTACATACACTCACTAAATTTACCAAATTCAGTCTATCTTCACAACATTTATCTTGAAAGTTGTTGAAGATATCTATTCCCATGTTCTGTTCTCAAGAATGCCCAAAGAGAGTAACTCTTCATAGCAAAGAAAATCTTCTGTTATGACCTGAATGAAGTATAAAACTTGTACCGAGTCAGTAATATCAGTTCATTCATCCAAAGCAATTGAATAATATATATTTTCCTTTTGAAGCATTGCATGAAGTTGAAATATTGTATTGCATGTTCTGTTAAGTTGAAGCCTAATTTGTGCTGATGATGAGTTATGTTTCTCCGTTGAAAGAGGCGGTTGTTTGTGCTTTGAAACATTATCAGCGTCTAAGCATCCTACAACTTCGACAATGCATTCCTTGACAGTTTCTACATCACGGAATGGCTCCTTTTTTTCCCCCTGAATACATAAGCTACTTTATAAGTTGCTTCAGTGGCGTTATTTCCGGGTCTTGTTGCTGCTTAAAACAATTCTTTGTTTTTGCCTTTCATCTTTTAATTTCTGCAATACAACCTTTTGCGCCTCTCCCTCTAATTTAAAATATTTGTGGTGCTTATGAGAGTTATAATGCTGATGAGCATTGAATTTCTTTAATGTTGACATTGCAGTGTCACAAGGCAAGAAAATCATCTTATCTTTAGCAGAAACAATATCACAATTCCCAATCCTCATTTAAAAATCTATTTGCTTTCTTCAGTGTTCTCTTGGTCTTCTTTGACATCATGGGCTGTTAAGCAGACAGAATTAAAAATACTGTCGAGCTGTGCAACTATTCACAAATTTTACTTCAAACAGAAACAGTGTACCGCTTTTAAAAGCTGACAATAGACTGGTGTACTGGACCCCCATAAACTCTCTCCAATCAGCCTCATGCGGTAGTGGCACCAGTTGGGAGGGAGTTAGAACTAAATCATGAGCATAATAGCCATCAGTTTAGCCCTTATGGCTTACTGATGTTCTAATTGTGCTGGTCAATCTGAGAGGATTATTTCATTGATACTTATCTTTCCTTTGGTATTTTAAATACGTTCATTTTAAATATATAAAAGATGAACAAAAATGTATTAGTACAAATAAAAGGATTTGTTCTGTAAAATTTGGATTCAGTCAAAAGGCCACATTTAAGGACCTAGAAGGCCACCTGTGGCCTTTAGGCCACTGGTTCCCCACCCCTGCTCTATATATTCCTTCCTTTTTTTTCTGTTAAAAAACCTGATTTGATCTGGAGAGTTCCCCACAGTCTCAATTTTTCTGATTGAATACTGATGGCATGGTGCAGCATATTTCTCTGGCCTTTATTTTTCTTGCAAATTGGCAGCTGGTTAAAGAGGCTTGATCAAGCTAAAGTTCTCCTTTGGCAAGATTCTTGGTGGTGGTTTATTCTTTCATCAGGAGGCATATACTGTCTACTTCTCTTTCTTTTTGTGATATTAGTAGCCATTGGTACTTAACACCTAAATTTTTTAATTCAGTAAGGGCTGCAAAGTGGTGACATTTTAATTTTTTTTAATAAAAATGTGCTATCAAAAGAGATACCTTCCCTGAGCATCTAGCCTGAAAGAAATTGAGTTAAATTACAAGTCAGGGTTTACTGACATAAATGATGTGAAATTTTTACACATCATTGTTTCTTGCCTTAAGTTTATTATTGCTTTGATAGTATGGATAAAGATGATGAAAATATGATTTGTCAGTAAAATGTGTTTGGGGATTCTTTCTTTTTTTTTTTAAACCTTTTTGATATTGCTACTGAGTGCTTGGTCACTTATTGTCCAAGAGAAATAATGTGAAGTGAGGTTAATAAAAAGAATAGTATTTGTGAGTAAATAATAAAAGTCAGAGAAGAGGGAATCTGGAATAAAATACAGGCAATAAGCAATGCCTTGTCCTTAAGTTCAGCTAAAAAGCAAGTTCAGAGCACATTAGTGATCACTGGAAATCAGTTTATGCAGTATAACATACTAATTCCATTTTCATGCTAAATTTTGGCATGGACTAAGTTTATGGTAGCTTTGTTCACTTCAGGATTCGCCAAATATAAATCAGGTGATAGAGGAAGAATTTTTAAACTGCTTGATACTGTATTATTAGTGTTAAATATCTTTAGATACTTTTAAGAAGTACTGTTTGCATATGAATCACTGATATGCAGATTACATGTATTAATAAGACTCATTCTTCATCCCCATTTCTTAATAGATAATATTCTTAATCTGGTTTCAATATCTGTGTGAAAATAAAAATAATACATTATCACATATGCTGCATTTCAGATATCATTAGATTCTTATCAAATTTGCAGTGCTGCCTTAAATATATAGCACAAATGTCTGTTAAAAGAATACTTCACATGTGGCTGTTATTTTCCTTTTCAGGTTGTCTGGCTCTTCCCAAGTTGAATCTGCAGTTTTTGACTCTTCATGACTACCTCCTAAGGAACTTTAATCTCTTCCGCTTAGAATCGACTTACGAAATTAGACAGGACATCGAAGATAGTGTCAGCAGAATGAAGCCATGGTTAGTAAATTGATTCCACTTGTAATGAAGAGATACAAAAACAGTGACTGATACCTGTCAGAAACCTCATATTTAGAAATAATATACCTGGCATAAAAATGCCCTCCAAAAGAGGGCATAATCTCAAAGAGATTAACTCTTTGAGAAATTTTTAACTGTGAATTCAAATATTTCAAAAGTGCTAAAATATAAACTGTTTCTGTGTACTTGGTTATGGGGGCTGAAAGACCATGGACAAAGGAGGAGAAGGCATCATGCTCAGGGAGGGAAGGGAGAGATACAAAGGAGAGTAGGTTGGACATTAGTAAGCGGGTGAAGAGGAAAGGGTAGGCGTTGGCCAGCAGGCCTGTGCTAGGGCAGGACAGTTTAAGTCCTGGAGGAAGCATATGGTAAAGGGGTATTCTGCAAACCCAGCTGCTCGTGTGACTGTTGCCAGTAGTCATAGTCAGCCTCTCTAAGGGAATTGGCAGGAGGTGGGGCTGTTGCTGACACTGCATGAAGTGGTATATTGAAAAGTCTTCTCTGGCCCTCCATCCATAGATTCCCTCAAAGAGACCATTAGGTCTAGTTATTTGAGGAATGCTTCTGTGTAAACTCAACTCCCTACTTGCTAGCTCATGTCTGGAATTCCTTTAGCCAAGAAAAGTCTGTCCTAGTTATTGTAGCAGCTCTGTTACAGATTTGCAAAGATTAATTTTGGTTTTTTAGACATGACTGACTTTGGGTAAATGCTTTTAATTCACTGTTTCATTCCAAGTATGAAATTGAAGGATATGTTATATATCACAAGTGATTATAAATGAGTAAAATTCTGTGAAATGAATTTTCATTACATTATAGTCACACCATGTTGACATATACAATTGTACCATGTATAAAAAGCTTAATAGTTTTTTTTGTTGTTGTTTTTTGAGACTAAATCTTGCTCTGTTGCCCCGGCTAAAATGCAGTGGCGTGGTCATAGCTCATTGCAACCTCAAACTCCTGGGCTCAAGTGATCTTCCTGCCTCAGCCTCCCGAGTAGCTGGGACTACAGGCGCATGCCACCACACCCAGCTAATTTTTCTATTTTTAGTAGAGACAGGTCTTGTCCTTGCTCAAGTTGGTCTCAAACTCCTGACCTCAAGTGATCCTCCCGCCTCAGCCTCCCAGAGTGCTAGGATGCTTAATAGTTTTTGAATGTGAACTGATTCAGGTATCTTTCAGGCTTCTCTTCTTACTAATTATAGAGAGCTACCATGGACACTGTGATTATGATCTTTTTTTTTTACTTCTATGTTTTATATACAGTTCTATTTTTTTAATTAGTTATTATGGGAAAAGTTATTCTGGGTGAGACTATAAAACACAACACAAAGAATTTTTGACTTAATAATCAGTTGAGTCAGTAGGCAGGCGAGCACTGTGAAATTTGTATGCCCACTGGCTGCTCGTCCCTGCCCACAGCTTTGCTGAAATTATTGCCCATTGTTTGGACCCAGGGGGAGTGCTTGATCAGAAAACTTCCTTACAATTTATGGTTACCTTGAGTTTGTATGCTCAGATTCTGGGCCTAATTTTGGCCATTTTGCCAGCTAGGGATTTATTAAATAGCAGTTCAACAAATAGAGTTCACTTGTTTTTTATTTAAATGCCAAGTACCACACAATTACTTAGAGTAATTTGGTCTCTTAATAAAAGAATTTTTTTGATTACATCATTTTCCTGCAGGAGAAGAAAATATCACTTTGGAGAGTTAATTTAGTCACATTTGTAATAATAAATTTTTCTGAATTTACATTCCTAATGCCCATAATTGAAAACCATTGAAAATGATGAGATCTTAAAAGGGGCCAGGCTTCTTTCTCTTCCTTGTATCCTGAAGGCAGAAATGTGGCAGAAGCATTTTTACTCATTGCATGGTTCTAATGATTATATTTTCAGTTTGCTAAAACCTCTAAGCAGCAGTAAGGAAGGAAGGATGTGCTTATAAGAGGCAGAAGTCTATACTTTTTAATGCTTCACGTTTCAAGTAGATTTTATAAGAAGAAAAAGGAGTAAGGGGAGTAGATTAGTGGTTGCCTGGGGGTGGGAACAGGGATTGACTACAGTTGGACAAGAGGGATCTTTTTTTAAGGATGATAGAGATGTCCTACAATTGGATTGTGGTGATGGATGCACAGCTCTGTAAACTGTACATTTACAGTGGATGAATTTTGTGGTATGTAAACTATACTGCAGTAAAGCTGTAAAAAATGGAAGAGGTAATAGAAAGTTATTTCACAAGGGTTTAGACACAAGGTAAATTTTAGAAATTATCCTAGTACTAACCAAGTCACTGGATTGCAGAACTTTATTTTTAATTAGTTTCTCTCTTTGATGTTAAGAAGTTCTATAATTTTTTGTTGTGACACAAAACCTTTACATAGGATGTAGTTTATCTTTGTAAGCATGTCATTTTTTGGCAGTACTTTCCAATTTTGGAGTGCTGCTGCAGTTTTTATGTTACAGATTTCCCAAATATACTATTTAATGCAAAAACTAAAGCACTAGTTAGAGTAAAATAAGAAGAAAGAATGGATATTTGGATGTTAGTGGTTCTGGTTATTACAACTGGCTTGATTATTTTTTCCTCCAATTCATTGCAGTGTCTTTTAAATGATTTAAATATTATGCTCTAAAGGAGACATTTGCATAGAAATTATCATTTGTTTACTTGTTTTCAAGTTTTAAAATTATGCCTTGCTCTAAAATGTATTTGAAGCAGCTTATAGAAATACTTAAAATACAGAAGATAAAATATTAATTGAGACCATCTTGATGAAAAGGGTAAAAGGATAAGGATATAAAACTAAGTAAAGATATCCTTCAGAAATGGAGGAGAGGTAAAGACAAACAGAAAAAAAAAGAGAACAGAAGCTGAGAGAGTTCATTACCACTAGAGCTATCTTATAAGAAATGCTAAGGGGTCTAGATATGGTGACTCACGCCTATAATACCAACACTTTGGAAGGCCAAGGTGAGAGGATTGCTTGAGCCCAGGAGTTTGAGACCAGCCAGAGCAACATAGGGAGACCTCATCTCTACAAAAAATTTTAGGAAAACTAGCCAGGCATGGTGGCACATGCCTGAAGCCCTAGCTACTAGAAGTGGGAGGATTACTTGAGCCCAGGAGTTTAAGGTTGTAGTGAACTATGATGACACCACTGCACTGTAGCCCAG